TAATGAGTTCACCAGTGGTAAGATGCATGTTTTTTTAAACATTTTTTTAAGTTTACTTATTTATTTTGAGAGAGAGAGAGTGAGTCAGTGAGAGAGGGGCAGAGAAAGAGGGAGAGAGAGAATCCCAAGCAGGCTTCGAGCTGTCAGCGCAGAGCCGGACGCAGGGCTCAATCTCACAAACTGTGAGATCGTGATCTGAGCCCAAATCAAGAGTCCAACACTCAAGTGACTGAGCCACCCAGGCACCCTAAAATGCATGTTTTAGGAGTTGCATTTTGGAGAGTGATTATAGCGGTGGGCTGTGAGGTCAGGGCCACCCATTCTAGTAGAAGACTAGAAACTATGTGAGAAGAGTGGTCCAGGCCTGTTCTGACCACCCACTGACCATGAGCCTTATCCTGTCACTACGTGGTATATTTAGGCAGGCAAGCAGACAAGTGGGGAGATACCCTGAGTACTTCCCAGGAGGGTAACAGCCTTACTGCCTGGGCCTTACACCACGTTCGGCCTGTGCTTCTTGGTATAGACTAGGATTTGGCAAGCCATGGCAACTCCGAGGCAAACCAGGAATCCCCTGACTATGTTCAGCCCTCGAATGAAGAATGGTTTTTACATTTTCAAATGCGTGGAAGAAAAAAATCGAAAGAATATTTCATGACGCATTAAAATTACATGAAATTCACATTTCGGCCCCCATAAATAAAGGTATACTGGCACACAGCCACACTTGTTCCTTTACATACGTGCCTCTGGCTGCTTTTACACTACAATGGCAGAGTTGAGCAGTTACATCAAAGATCGTGTGACCCCAAAGCTGAAAATATTTACTCTCTGGGCTTTAACAGAAAAAGTTTATTAACCTCTGGTTTAGACCATTTAGGTAATAGACTTTGGGCTGGTAGATCTCTCCCTTCCCATGTTTAAGTGTTGATGGGAACACAGACAGCATATACACAAATAAACCAACATTTTGGGGTGGGGGAACTTTCCACTTTGTAGTGGAAAGAAATGCAGTAATGTAGTAATGGAAAGAAAATGAAAAAGAAATGTAGTAATGAAAAGAAATGCAACAAAGTACAATAATAAAGGGTCCTTTTTGTTCTGCTAATAAAGCAAAAAGACAAATGATAAAAACACTAGCAAAGCAATCAGAGCAAGCAAGAACAGTACAGTGTAGTTCACATCATTATGAACTGGTTCACCTCTTCCATCAAACAATCTGGCAGAATTATCAGTCATAAATGTGTTCACACCCTTTGACCTAATAGTCCGAGTCCTGGAAATCTATTCTAAGGAAACAATCAAAAGAACATAAACACTGTGTCAAGATGTTCACATTACCATTTTTCTAACAAAATGCTGGAAACATCCTGAAGTGTTTAGAAATAAGAAATGAATCAGTAGGGGCACCTGGGTGGCTCAGTCAGTTAAGCATCTGACTCTTGATTTCAGCTCAGATCATCATCTCACGGTTCATGGGTTTGATCTCCACATTGGGCTCAGTGCTGACAGCATAGAGCCTGCTTAGGATTCTCTCTCTCCCTCTCCCTCTGTTCCTCCCCTGCTTGCACGTGCTCTCTCTCTCTCAAGATAAATAAACATTTAAAGAAAAGAAAAGATCATGAATATGCAATTAATACTTAGGTGAAGTGTTAGAGAAATGCAGTCTAGAAAAATATCTTGTTTGTGAAGACCTTTGAACCAGCTTTGATAATTTCCCCCCACACTGTCATTAGTCCTTTAATAAGCAAACGCCTTTGTAGACAAGGACAACACACACATACAGAACGCAGGACAGGAGTGAGCCTCTGGGAACACAATTCTTACAAATAGAGCAAATGATGATTAGCAGTACTTTGGTCCAAATCAATTTATACCTATAGTCTCCACTTCCAAAAACTCAAATTCAACTCATCTCGCTGCATACATGAAATATGTATAGCTGTTTGTATGTCAATCATGCCTCAATAAAGTGGTTAAAAAAAAGAAAAAAGAAAAATCAAATTCCTAGTTTTCATGAACCTTAGGGAACTAAGCACTCTAAGAAAAAAAAGGAATTTGTTCCTGATGAATATAAAAATCAGAATCACTTTAGTAATCCAGCCTTTGTGTCCACCAATATCTTTAGGCTTTGGCCCTATTCCAAAGTATTCTCTTTTACTAAAACAAAACAAAACAAAACAAAACAACAAAAATAAACCTTTACTTTTCTGTTTTTCCATTCAACCCAGAGCACTGCAATCACAGGCCCATAAATCAAATTTAAATAATGAATGAATAGCATCAAATGCTTTCCATCAAAACTATAAATTATTTTCAGAAGCAATGTAAGCAAATGTATTTTGTTCCATTTTGCAGAAATATGCTGATGAGGGGGCTGTGGGGAGAGCCTTACAAAAGTAATGGGCTGACTAGAGAAAAAATGCTGCAAAAGGAATACGCCAACTAGGGGGAAGAAATCCACAAGATACTATGGTGCTATTTGTTTTTATATTTTTATGACACTCAATACAGTCATGGCCAGTGCTCGTATTCGTATCTCTCATCTCCAACACGACACAAGTGCAAGGGCAAAACCTTATGCATCCTGAGGCTCACAGGTTCACACACTCATATGACATTTGCAAACTATGAAGCACAGTTTAAATTTAATGGCAGGCCTGGGGCGCTTGGGTGGCTCAGTCAGTTAAGCGTTGGACTCTTGATTTCGGCTCAGGTCATGATCTCACGGTTGACGAGTTTGAGCCCTGCGTCCAGCTCTGCACTGACAGCGAGAAGCCTCCCTGGGATTCTCTCTCCCTTTCTCTCTGTGCCCCTCCCCTGCTCTTGCGCTCTCTCTCTCCCTCTTCCAAAATAAATAAAATAGACTTTTAAAAAAAAATTAAGGCAGGCACGGAAACAACCCAAATGTCCATCAACTGATGAACATATCAACAAAATGTAGTCTAACCATACAATGAAATAGTGTTCAGCCCTAAAAAGGAATGAAGTGCTGATACGTGCTACACTGTACGTATACCTTAAAACATTATGCTAAATGAAATAAGCCAAACACAAAATATCATATGTCATATGGTTCCACTTATATGAAGTGTTCCTAACAGGCAAATCTGTAGAGACAGTAGATTAATGGTTGCTTAGGACTGAGGGGGGCCGGTCATAGCTAAAAGGAAACAGGGATTCTTTTCGAAGTGACAAAGATGTTCAGAAATTGACTGTCGTGGTAGTTGTACAACTCTGTGAATATAATAAAAAACAGTGAACTACATACTTTTAGTAGTTGAATTGTATGGTATGTAAATTATATCTCAATAAAACTATTACAATTTTTTTCAAAGTAGGCAAAAGATATTAATTAAAAGCAAGGATTTTTGTTCTCTAGTCAGCCCGTTACTTTTGTAAAGCTTTGTTGTATTCAAGATTCATAAAAATCATCGACATTACTTTTATGCCTACTGTAAAGAAAAACAAATCCTAAATCAGTCTTATTTCTATCAAGACAGATCAAAATTTAAAATATTTTGAAGACAATGCTCTTTTTTAGAAGCTTAGTACAATTAGCAGTGAATCTTTTACATAAAACAGATACAATTTTAAAACATTAACTTTCTCACTAACCATTTTTTGTCTCTTAGGCAATTATTTGACAAAGTTTCAAAGTATTTGAAAACATTTGAAAGCTGAAGAATCACTACTAATATCCACAGAGAGAAAAAATTCTTATATTCTTAAAGAAAAAGTCACTTAGAGAACAATGGTTTCTTATCCAGAGAGAATAAAGAAATGTGCCTTGAAACTTTTCTTTTTTAAATTTCATTCTTACTAGGAAGCTTTATATTCCTTAGAAGCTGTTTATCACTGGGGCACCTGGGTGGCTCAGTCGGTTAAGTGCGGGACTCTTAATTTCGGCTCAGATCATGATCTCACGGGTTCATAGGATCAAGTCCTGTGTCAGTGCAGATTAGGAGTCTCTCTCTCCCTCTCTCCGTGCCCCTCCCCCCCCAAATAAATAAATAAACTTAAAAAAATTAAAAGAAGCTGTTTATCATCCATAAAGGAGAAACTCATATTTCTGGTCTTATTCTTCGTTAAGAAGTCATTTTTCTAAGATATGCTTATAACTTCATGGGAATGATGCTGGACACCCAAGATACCTGGGTTCCCTTCCCCTGCTTCCGGCCCTTCCAGCACCTTTCATGTTCCCTTTCATGACACTCTTTCCACTTGTTTTGAGGCCCTGGGGGAGGACAGGGCTGATATTTGTCCTGGGCACTACTGTATCTGCAGAATCTAGCACAGTGCATATGGCACAGAGTAGGCACTCAAGATGTCTTTATTAAACTGAATTCAGGGCTCTGGGGTTTTTCTTGCTTTATGTTAGTCTCATATAATGTGTTAATCTATGAAAATAAGTTCCACAGAAATTAGAGTAACCTTATCGGGAGTGAAAGATGAGCAAATATCAGATGGCAAGCCACATCATATTTTCCTCTCCCCGACCTAAAGCTGCTGGGGGAACAGAGAAATATACTTCTCAGACTTAATTGCTCTACTCCTTAAGAAGTTTGTAAATTAGTGGCTGACACCAGTCAGACATTAAAGAAGTAAACAGGGAGCTGGTTTCATTGTAGTGGAGAAAACTGTGGCTTGGAAAGAAGTGGGTGAATCAGGGCTCTCCCCGTGCAAGGTCATCTCCAGCAGCATCGGTAAATCAGAGTAGCCCGCTGGGCCCGGTGTCGTGGCGGTCAAATAAGAAGGGGCCTTCACAGGCTTTCTACCAAGCCTTCCGGGGAGACTAGGGGGAAAGCAGGAGGAGCAGCAAAGGCAAATGGGACAGGTGGGATAAAGAGTCACAGCACCTGGAGCTACTGGAAGGGAAGCTGGAGAGGTAGAAGGGGCGGCGTGGGCTCCAGAGGACTCTGACTGCGGCTGTGTCTGCACAGAGCCACGCGAACCACCCGCCCCGACCTCTGAGAGAACAAACGATCGTAGACACTTACTTAATATTGAATTTTCAGTTTTGAAAACAGTTCTTCTGATTCCCAGTCTCATTGTTCCTCCCAAATTGCCAGGGTTGTGTTCGGGCATATCAATCACCTTAGAAAACAAAACAAGTCCGGTTTTGCCATTTATACAAATGTAATTTCCCAAATTCCAAGCTTTACTTTTAAAGTAACGATCGTTGGTTGGGTAAGGATGTTCCCTAGACAATAAAACCTGATCATTCCTTCCAATTTTCTTATTCAAATACAGCCATGCTTTACACACTCCTCACAGTAGGCTTCCTTTTCATCTCTGTTCTAATCTTTCATTCAAATTACTTGTACAAAATGTGTCAGGACCTTCTTTATGACCTTCCATCTGTCATTACTCAAGACGTCAATTCCAAGCAATGTTCACACTTCAAGTTCTGGACTTCTAGGGCCACTCACTTTGGTATTCGCATCCCTCCCCTACTGCCCATTTCATTCCCTAAAGATTCTCCATAAGCAAATCTGTCCATCCTTATGGAGAAGTACACCAAAAAGACTTTTTTCTACAAAACCTTAGGATTCCTTTAAAAAAAAAAAAAGGTAATGTCATCCATTCTAGCACATTCTCTGTGCCATAAACTTCAGCACCACCCTGGATCTCTCCCTCTTCCTCATGACTCATCTCTCATTTGTCAAGTCCTATCAATTTACCCCCTTCCAGACGTCCTGCATCCATCCATGGCTCCAACCATCACCCAAACCACAGCCCCTCAACCCAGGCTATAGCCAGAGCTCCACATTCACGTGACCCCAGTCCACCCTGCACACTACAGGCAAAGCAGTTGTGGTATATCTCCTGCTTGAAATCCTTGACTGCATGATATCAGTGCAGCCTCGCCCTCCGGCCCCATGTCCCATGACCTTCCCCTCACACCCTGAGCTCTGGTCATGGTGGCCTTCCTCCATTTCCCCCAGTGCATCTTCTTCCCTCCTGCCATGAGAACTCTGCACGTGCTGTTTCCTCTGCCCAGAACATCTCCCATTCCCCTACCCTTTTGTCCTAAATGAAACCATCCTCAACCTTGAGACCTTAGCTCAACTATCCAACATGAACTCCTACAGGAGTTTATATTCTCAGGCACCACGGCCTAGTGAGGACCCGCATCTCTGCCCTCCCCACCCCTGCACTTCCCTTGTTCATGTCTGTAGAGTGCTTTGCCTGTGAGACTATACAGCCTTGAGGGCTGGGGCAGTGCTACCTCTCCTTACATTGCATTCCCGGCCCCTTGCATATATGGGACTGGCGCATGGTATGTACTGAATGAATGCATGCATGAATGAATAAATGAATGAACTCAGACCAAATAATTTCAGATTTGTCTTTATGATTACTTCATAGAAATTCCAAAACATGATTTTTACAAAAAGCCTGTTCTTGTTAGTCATTGCTGTTGTTTCCGTTCTGTTCGCTACGATCTCGTGGTTTTGTTTCATCTATTGTTTTGTTAAGCTGTTAGAACAGACTACAGTCAGGCAAGTTAACGTGTTCTGATGAAACTGCTCAGGTTTCCCTCTCATAAAACCTTTCAGTTTCCCCACACACACATTAAATGCCATGTAGTGCTCTATAGAAAACCTGGACAACTAGAATTTCCTGAGGTAAAAATTTTCCCAGAACTTGTATGATCTTATCAGCGCCCCAGAACTTTCGGAGCCATCTGAACCCTGCGTCCCAAGTGCACTCCAAGAGTCACCGAGGGGAAGGGGTGGAGAAAAAACTTGATTACTCCCCTTGTTGGATGGAGTGCTCAGTTCTGAAGTGCTCTAGACCTTGACATCTCTTTCCTATCTTCTCTGGTTGGCTAATTATGGCTAGATTAAGTATTACTGGAGTGAGGTGAGAGAGGGCATTAGGTTCCAGTTCTCAAAGCTGAGCTGCTTATAAATGCCCAGCCCCTTATGTATTTTCTAGGAAAAGGCAGATAAGATTGTGCTATCCACCACAGCCTCAATTTTCACTGCAGTTCAAGACAACCTGAACCATGTAGGAAGAGCACAGCGATGACCCCCCTAACGCCCCCCACCCCCGCTTCTTAGAGGTGTATTCTGGTTGTTCGATCCACTCTTACTTCCCGTATTGGGTTCTTCAGCCCAGGAAGAGTCTTTTAACGTAGTTTGTGTAGTTATTGGCATGTTTGGTTTTCAAGAAATGTTCCGCTATGAACCACTGAGAAAAGTCAAATGACCCACCTGAGAACAGGAAACCTGCCTTACTGCTTACTTGAGATGATCTTGACAGACACAAGACCACATCATATCTCCAAAAGAAAAATACAGTGGGCACAGGGGCTGCCTAAGGGTGTTAAATACTCCTCCAACGTAAAGGGAAGTGTGGAAATCCCTAACAGAGCAATATAAGAATATTATTTAAAAACATGGGGGTAGGGGCACCCGAGTGGCTCAGTTGGTAGAGCACATGACTCTTGATCTTGAGGTCTTGAGTCTGAGCCCCACGTTGGGGGTAGAGTTTACTTAAATACATACATACATAAAAATAATAAAATAGGGGCGCCTGGGTGGCGCAGTCGGTTAAGCGTCCGACTTCAGCCAGGTCACGATCTCGCGGTCCGGGAGTTCGAGCCCCGCGTCAGGCTCTGGGCTGATGGCTCGGAGCCTGGAGCCTGTTTCCGATTCTGTGTCTCCCTCTCTCTTCTCCCCCCCCCCCCCCCGTTCATGCTCTGTCTCTCTCTGTTCCAAAAATAAATAAACGTTGAAAAAAAATTAAAAAAAAAATAATAATAATAATAAAATAATAAAATCTTGGAGGTAAATATCAGGAGAACCAGCTGGAAGACTTGAGGGTGGCAGAGAGGGGGTAAGGATTACTGAATATTTTCATTATAGGCCTTTTGGAACGAGTTGGCTTTTAAAACTTTGTACGTAGTATTTTTTTTTTTTAATTTTTTTTTTAACGTTTATTTATTTTTGAGACAGAGAGAGACAGAGCATGAGCGGGGGAGGGTCAGAGAGAGGGAGACACAGAATCTGAAACAGGCTCCAGGCTCTGAACCGTCAGCACAGAGCCTGACGTGGGGCTCGAACTCACGGACCGCGAGATCGTGACCTGAGCCGAAGTCGGCCGCTTAACCGACTGAGCCACCCAGGCGCCCCCGTAGTATTATTTTTAATGAAAACACAAATTTAAAGCCCAAACAGTGCAATCTATCATTTAGACCTTCCACTAGGGTGTTAGTTCACATTATCCCTGCTGTTTTCAGAAGCAATAACTACAACCGTCTTCGAACATGATAGCACAGGAAGAAATCCCAAGGTACAGCAGCCACAGTGATCCTCTGATTAAAACACGCTAGCACAGAAACCAAAGGAGAAGGCACAGAAGAGGTTAGAGAAAAGATGGGGGTGCAGGTGGAAGTAGCTTTCCAATGGCGAACGATGCCCCGAACGGCAGTGAAAGGAGAAAAGCACAGCAAGAACTGACAGGGGAGTCGCCGTTGTCTCTGGGCTGGCTCAGAAGGCCACATCTGGGGATTCTCATCAGACACTCAGTCTTCTGATGGAAGCCAGGCACAAGCCAGTGGAATCCAAACACACCAAGGGGAAGGTTGGGGAGGGTAGAGAATACACCGCAGTTCTGGACAAGCCAGGCCCAACCAGCTGCCTTCAGTTACAGTCGCCTCCGATGAGCTCGAAAGTTGCCAGTAGGACTGCCTCTTGGGTTATAAGCAGCCTGATTCAGCAACAAAATTCGGGAAAACGTCTCTGTGCCTGGTATTTCCCTCCACAAAAAGCCTGAGAGACATCAGTTTCAAAACATATCCTTTATCGTGACTGGAGTAGTTAAAAAAAAAACAAACTCAAATATGCGTTAGTTTTAATCCCAACATTTCCAAAATACCCTACATTTGCATCTAAGAGGAAAATGCCTCTTCCACTGCAAAAGGACTGCCTTGGCCTGCTCTGATTTTGCCGAAATACTGGCTGTTGTCTGATCCCCACTACAGAGCTGTCCTTTCTTGGAACTGAGCCAGCCATATAGCATAAGAAAAATAAAAAAGGATCAATAAGTAACGAATATCGGTGGTGATAAAGCTTTAGATGTAAAAGTACCACATAAGGATAAATACAGCCCTGATTAACCTTTACCGAAGTTTCCGCAGCCCACGATAAAAGTGTAATGGGTTCAAGACTGGGTTCATGCGTCCCAGATGCCTTAACAACAGAGTCTAGGGAAGTTATGGTCTCTTATCAAAGATGAAATTCCAGCATACGAGGTAGTACACACTGACTGACCCAACAGAGCCCTGTTTAGGTCAGTTTCCCTCACGTCCCTTGCCTTTGGACATTTCATTTGGGGATGCTGAAAGAGCCCACTCTCCCAAGCCAGCTGTTTCCAGTCTCTCAGGCAACACACAGTGATTTTTCTCAGACTTTCTACTATATTCCGCAAGTATTCTTTACAAGGATTTCCCCAACCCATTCCCTTCCTCTCGTCCATTAGTTTTTCCTGATCATTTTTTTTTCAAGCCTGCTTCTGATTTCGATTCTTGATGACTCATGTTCAAGTTGTGCACAAAGTACGAACAAAGTGATGTTCAAATCTATACTCGTCTGCACGTGGCACTCAGTCTGGCTAAGCTCTCCCAAAGCGTCCTAACCTGTGGTTTCTACCTTGGATGGACAGGTCCATTGCTGATGGCTCCTCTGCTCCCCTCCCCACCACTGCTCTACACCTATATCACCTCTTCATCACTTTTCCTAAAATGCCTTGCCCCCCCGATTCCACATGGGCCCATGCTTTCGGGGCACCCTCCAGTTCTCCTTACTGACCCATGATTAACGCCATGTTATTATGCTAACCCTACCAAATAAATAATACGTGGCAAAAGAGACTTTGCAGACATGCGTATATTAAACCTCTTGAGATGGCAAGGCTGTCCCAGATTATCTGGGTGGGCCCGATGTAACAACAGGGTCTTTATAAAAGAGAGGCAGGAGGGTCAGAATCAGAGAAGGAGATAGATGACAGTGGCGGTCAGAGAGAAAAGAGAGAGAGAGAGAGAGAGAGAGAGAGAGACTGGAAGATGCTACATTGCCGGCGTTGAAGATGGAAGAAGGCACCATGAGCAGGCAACCTCTAGAAGCTGGAAAGGCAAAGAAACAGATCCTCCCCTAGAGTTTCCAGAAGGAATGGCAGCCCTGCCTGCCTACCCACTTTATACTTCTCCAGAACTGTAAGAAAACAACCTGTGGGGCTTTGGGGGGGGGGGGGGATTAATTCTGTTGTTTTAAGCCACTAAGTTTGCGGTAATTTGTTACAGAAGCCATAGGATACTAATACGGTCCTTCGTTGTATACAACCTTAGCCTCCTCCATCATTTCCTTACCTGCCTCCTCTCATAGGCTAAAGGGTGGGCTCATCAAGCACAAGGACTGGACCTTCTTCTCTGTCTCCAGCAGAGTCCAACACAGTGTCAGATTACAACTGATGGCTCCACAGTGAAATCTCCCTGGATTTCTATCAGAAACGAGCAGAGCAGACGAAGGGGCTAGTGGGCAGCCTAAGAGCAATGGAAGGGTCTCGGTCCTGAGCCGCAGATGGATGTTTTCAGCATAGGGGAGGGGAGGAACAGTGCCCCGCTCTGAAGCAGGGCACCCCTGAGCCCAAGCACACCTCTTACCCAATGCAGGACTGTTACATTGCCCTGTCTGTCTCCCCAGCCTGCCTCATCACCAGCAGCAGGACAATGGAATCCACCAGGGTGAAGGCATGGAGCAGTCCCATAAATACGTTTATATTTTCCAGTGTTTTCAACTCATTTTCCACCAGTAAAAGAAGGCCTGTGTTACTTCCATCAGAAAGAAAACATTCTTATACCTTCAGGTATGAACATAACACATAAGTCCTGCCTCTGGGCCTCACGCTAACGTTGAGCAGCTCTCCTCACAGAAGCCCTCCTCCTGAGGGGGGCAGGCAGCACGGCGGCTGAGGGGGCAGCCTCGGCCTGGGCCAGAATCCCAGCTCTAGTACTGCCCAGTGCTGCGACCTTTAGCTGGTCCTTGAACGTCTCTGGAGACTGCAGGTAACAGTGGTATCCAGTTCACGGGGGTGCTGTGAGGATTGATCAAGGTAAAGGGCCAGGGTCGGCCAAGGGCAGCACTCAGCCACAGGAAGGACCAGCCCTCGCTAAGCGTGGGCTATGTGATCAGGAGGCCTCTGTGACCTCAGCACAGGCGGGCCCCAAACCGGGGAGACGCAGGGCCCAGGCAAAGGTCGGAAGTGGAAAAGAACGTGAACTCTGTGGCAGTGCACCAAGTTGGCTGGCGAGGCAAAGCTGTGCTTTGCTGGTCAGACTCTTTTCAAACCCTCAGGATCAAAGACAACACGAACCCAGGATAGCACCGCCTGCCCATTTTGTTTTGCAGGGCCCGACACTGACTCTCCTCCCAGAGGTGCTTTTTGAGGCACTACCTGCTGTGGGCTTCGAGTCAAATAACACAGCTAAGGAAGCCTATGGTACAGGGGCTTTTAAAATAAGTTACTCTTGGGGCGCCTGGGTGGCTCAGTCGGTTGAGCGTCTGACTTCAGCTCAGGTCACGATCTCGCGGTCCGTGAGTTCGAGCCCTGCATCGGGCTCTGGGCTGATGGCTCAGAGCCTGGAGCCTGCTTCCGATTCTGTGTCTCCCTCTCTCTCTGCCCCTTCCCCGTTCATGCTCTGTCTTTCTCTGTCTCAAAAATAAATAAATGTTAAAAAAAAAATTAAAATAAGTTACTCTTGGCATCCCTAGGAAACGCTTAAGTCTGTCCAAAGATCAAGCAATTGAATGGTGAGGTGATAAATAACCTTTGCCTCTCCATTTTTCCATTACCAATCTTGTGCCTTGTCATTTTTTCCCCTTCTCTAGTTTCAAAATGCACTCTTCTGAACACACCCTGTGTTTATCGCCCGTCTCCATGTATTTTTAGTTAATGTTTCATGAGAATATCTAGTGGCGGATTTCATGTTTCTCACTGCGGGTTTATCCTCACACTTGAGAACACAGGTAAAGAGAAACATAAGAGACGAGAGATAGGCCTGGCAGAGCGGAACAAGTGAACATTTCAGACCTATGGGTTGTTTTTCAAGTTCTGTTAGTGTTTACTACAAGCATAAGTTCTGACAACAAACAGCATTGGGCCTCGCTTATTATTTTTTTAAAGATTTTATTTTTAAGTAATCTCCACACCCAACGTGGGGCTCAAACCCATAACCCTGAGATCAAGAGTTGCATGGTCTACTGATTGAGCCAGCCAGGCATCCCAGCACTGGGCCTCTGTTAATCAGAAATCCTCCCTTGAAACTATAGATGCGTAGCCTGAAAGACTGTTAACCAACACTGTTCCAAATGTCTCTCTTAGGGTTAATTTCATATGCACACACCCTATATATACAACATATGCCATGTACTATACATAACATATATCTGTCATACAATATGCAGTTATTAAAATTATATAGTTGTATATCATATAGTTATTAAAATCATTTCTTTGATATGGACTCAAGAAATATGACAATCGCCACGTTGATTTTAGCTCACAGGCGGTAATTTAAGAAAACCGATGATTTAAGATGTTTTTACCACATTTGGAGAGATTTGAATTTGGCCTGTGATAATGGCATTGTGGTTGTGTAGAATAATCTCCTTGTCCTTACGAGACAAGATTGCTGAAGTATTTAGAGGAGAAATTGGTCTGCAAATGATTCTCAAATGAATCTGGGCAAAAGGTAGGTTGGGTGTTCACTGACCACTCTTGCAACTTTTCTGTAGATTTGAAATTTTTTTTTAAGTTATTGGAAGAAAAAGATATTTTTTTTGCTGTGATTGTTCAACAAAAGCTGACTTCCTCCCAAGTAAAACAGAGCATAAGCATAAAAACACTAGAAATCTCTAAAATCTTCATTAAAATGCATTGCCAAAATCAGAATATTTTTGCATAAAATCTTACAACTAAAACCAAAATGTTTATCTTTACTCCAAGAAGTGAGTTCATATATATTCAATACCAGTGGGTACCAAAGTCAAAGAATCTGTAATAAAAGCAAGAATAACATCTACAAGGACAGTGAAGGCACATGGAGTGATAAATGCTCAGGACTGCTGGGAAGTTCTTAAGAAACTATAAGAGTTCACATTTGTTCTCCAAGGTAAATAAGGCCCTAGAAGTTTAGAACTGAAAAGTGTCAGAGAAAAATACAGTCCAATAGCTCAATGCTCAATTTATATATGATATAATGAAGGGTCAGAGAAAATTATACAAGCGTGGAAGTGTGCAAGTATTTAAAACCTGATGAGGACTCTTAAAGTCAATCTGAAACCCTGTATTGCGAGTTATAATCAGTATTAGATTAATGCCCTTTGGAAACGTCCTTGTTCTTTCATAGAACTCTTTCCAGTAGAAATAAATTTAGTCTCCAATTTTAAATCCTGGCAGCTCCACAAGTTTGAAGTATTTCCAACTGAATAAAAGTAAGTCAAGTATTTTCACAAGTTTTTAGAATGATTAACAAAATATATTGGGGGAAAAATAGTTACACACCTGAAACTAATGTAAAATTGCGTGTCAACTGTGCTTCGATTAAAAAAAAAAAAACTTTGTATATATGGTAAGGAAAGGAGTAATGAGGAAAAAAAGCAGATACGAGACCAATAAATAATAGAAGAGTTGAAAAATGATCATGCGACTTGGTAACCTTGCTTTGCCAAATAAAACCACAAATTATTGTGTATCTTCTCCTTGTTTCTGAAGTCTGCTTCTCAGTGATACTTCTGTCCATTCATTCATTCAGTTGTTCAAGTATTTAAGGACCTAATCTGTACAAAACACCACAGGGACTTCCACAGCAACGCTGCAATTTCTTAGACTATATAGTATTGACCACCCACGATAGCATTTTTTTCTGCATATGAAGAAAGTTACTTTTTCGAGCCTAAATATGCAGCCAAATTGAAAAATAATACAACTCTCCATAGTTAAGCTTTCCAAAATGTGAACACTCAGCAAATACCGTAATGCCACATTGGAGGGAAAATACAATGTAAGGGGGGGAAAAAAATCCAAGTTTACTCTTGGGACTCTGAACCATGAAGCAACTGTTAAGGTGGCCATTTATTGGATCTTGCCCTTAATTATGAGGTTCATGCAGTCTCAAGCTTGGGTTTCAAAAACCATTAATAATTACCCTTAAATGGCAAACAAAAGGAAAATTTCATAATCAGGGTGGTGAGTCTGTAAAGACTATAAAAGTCACGATCCTGCTCAACTCTTCGCACTCCTATTTGATTCTTCTAGCTGCCTTGCTGCTGGGCAACCAGGTAAGTGTGATTTTAGTACTTCCTGGAGCTCTTTCTGCTTCTTTTCAGAATGGTTGTCAAAGATACAGGTCAGGAGAGAAAGTGGGTTTGTGCCATCTAAAGATATTACCAGTAACTTAGAGGCTAAAAGCTGTGGTCAGGTTTCTTCAAGACCACAGCCTACAGAGCACAGACCAGGTACATAAAATGTGGAGAATGTCACAACTACTAATCAAAGTGTAAGGCTCCAGGGACTATCTCGTAACAGATGTACTCTAAGAATACACACTGAACATACTAAGATGATTATTTTTACTACACCAAGGAAAGAGCCCAAAGGCACTGAAGTGTTGGCAATCATCGGTATAAAACTCCAGCTCAGCTTTCTGGTGAGCTCATTCCTTTCCCGATTTACAGGACACCAAAATGAGTGCAAAAAAGTCTCCTGAAGAACTGAAGAGCATTTTTGCAAAATACGCAGCCAAAGAAGGTGATCCAGACCAGCTGTCGAAGGAGGAGTTGAAGCTATTGATTCAGACTGAATTCCCCAGTTTGCTGAAAGTGAGTGCACAACCACAGAGCCCACGAACGAACGGGGACTCTGATGGTGACAAGGGAGGACAGGGGAGGGGAGAGGCTGAGGAATGCAATACCCATCCGAGCTGGGTCTAGGCCAGAGCACACAGCAGACAAGGTGCGGGCATCTGTTGAGCAAGGACACTTGAACGTGTTTCCCTCCCTGATGGCAGACCACATTTCAGAAGGCAAGTACCTGGAAAGCAGGTTCCAAGCCTTCTATGCCCCACAGCCTGGCACAGAACTCTCCATGACCAGCCAGAGTAAAAGGAAGCAATGATCGCAATTTCATGAAGTTAGACCTACAGGACCCACATGTCACCCTGGGTTCAGCACCTCTGTGCCAGGCTTCAGGAAAACAAAGAGGTCTGCAAAAACATCATTGGTTGGCCTTGGACGTGCTTCATGGTTATAGGTAGGATCTGTCAAGAAGACCAATGCTTATTTGGCAATCTGAAAAGAAAACCCACTTTGCGCTGACAAATTGCCATCTGGCGACACCCATTTATATTTCAAAAGCATTTAAATTTGTGTTAATTTGTGTTAAGCACCTAAATCTGTGTTAATGAGGCAGCCATGCATTGCTAAACAACTTCCAGGAAGGGATTAAATCTCTTTAGCCCTACAGTTTCTTGTCAAAACTGTTGCAGAGTTGTCAAAATCAAAGTGCATCTTGGGGCAATAAAGAAGAGAGGCAGGCTGATTCTCATTGCTCCAAAATACTTTCTTTCCTTCGCAACTAAAAGGGATCTTCAAAATGGAAGCACAACTGTTTCATCTGACTTGGTTACTATTTAGCTGTAACTTCAGAAGAAACCATTTGCTACCCAGATTTTGTCCCTTCTGCCAGTATGACGTGTGAGAAGGTTCTCACTGTAGTTGCTGAGGTTTCTGTTTTTAGTACTAAAGAGTGGCTGAATTCAATGACCTTATAATCCAATCTTGCCTCATTTTCTTACAGTTAAAATATAAAGTAACTTTCAGAAACAGTTAAAAGTGTTAGCAGAAAAGGGGATTTCTTTTTGAACTTTCTGGATTTTTATTTTATTTATTTATTTTTAAGTAGGCTCTACGCCCAACGCAGGCCTTGAATTCACAACCCTGAGATCCAGAGTCAGATGCTCTACCAAGTCAGCCAGGTGCCCCAGTAAAGGAGACTTTTTAATTAAAAATTAAAACAGGAGCGCTCGGGTGGCTCAGCTGGTTAAGCGTCCGACTTCAGCTCAGGCCATGATCTCATGGTTCATGGGTTCGAGCCCCATGTCGGGCCCCGTGCTGACAGCTCAGAACCTGGAGGCTGCTTCAGATTCTCTGTCTCCCTCTTTCTCCAACTCCCCTTCTCAAGATCTCTCTCTCTCAAAAATAAAAATAAACTTAAAAAAAAAATAAAACAAAGGTCTTTGAGAAAGATTAAAATCCTTTTTCTAATGTTTATTTATTTTTGAGAGAGAGAGAGAGAGAGAGAGAGAGAGAGAGCGCGTGGGGGAGGAGCAGAGAGAAAGGGAGACATAGAATCTGAAGCAGGCTTCAGGCTCCTAGCTGTCAGCAACGAGCCCAACGCCCACCTTGAACTCACGAACCCAGAGATTATGAACTTCGAAATCATGACGTGAGCTGAAGGCAGATGTTCAACTGACTGAGCCACACAGGCGCCCTGAGAAAGACTAAATTCTAAAAAACACTCTGAAGTTTTTCCAAAAGGAAGAAAAATTGTAATAGGAAGGAATAATAATAAAAGAAAAATAATAATCAGGAAAGCCTAGGCAACCTACTCAAATAAGTGGTTTTAAAAGTTAAGACTGAGGAGGGAGATGCCCAGGTGGCTCAGTCGGTTGAGTGTCCACCTTCAGCTCAGGTCATGATCTCACGGTTTGCGAGTTCAAGCCCTGTGTCAGGCTCTCTGCTATCAGCACAGAGACTGTTTTGGGTTCTCTGTCCCCCTCTCTGCTTCTGCCCCACTCGCTCACTCTCTCTCTCTTAAAAATGAATAAACATTTATAAAAAAATAAAAGGTAAGAGCAGGGGATTTTTCTATATTTTCCTATGGTTTATGTTTTTACTACAAAAAGCACATGACTTACAATTTTGATAAAGGTAGGAATCTGCTTACCAAGTCATGTACCTGATTATATTTTCATAACGATTACTAAGGTTTTCCAAGCTACAGTCTTTCCATCATCACCTTGCATGGTTTAGAATCTAGTAAATGCCTCAGGAAAAGTGTTTGGTATTTATACAACAAATGCTGAGTAACTAACTTAGTTTAGTCTTCTGATGGCAGCAAAGTACCAAATGTCTATAGGAATCTTAGGGGTTAAAACATATTTTGATGTGGCGATCAGTTGTACAACAATGTCAACATACTTAAGAGTAGTGAACTGTTCACTTAAAAATAGTTAAGATAGGGGGGCGGCTGGGTGGCTCAGTCAGTTAAGCATCTGACTTCAGCTCAGGTCACGATCTCACGGTTCATGGGTTCAACCCCTGCATCGGGTTCTCTGCTGACAGCTCGGAGCCTGGAGCCTGCTTCCGATTCTGTGTCTCCCTCTCTCTCTGCCCCTCCCCTGCTCACATTCGGTGTCTCTCTCTCTAAAATAAATAAACATTTAAAAATTAAAAAAAAAAAAAAGTTAGGATAGGGGTGCCTGGGTGGCTTAGTTGGTTAAGAGTCCAATTCTTGATTTCAGCTCAGGTCATGATCTCACGGTCCGTGAGTTCAAGCACCACGTCAGGCTCTGTGCTGACAGCTCAGAACCAGAACCTGGAGCCTGCTCTGGATTCTGTGTCTCCCTCTCTTTTTCTCTGCTCCTACCCTGCTGGTGCTCTCTCTCTCAAAAATAAATAAACATTAAAAAAAAATAGTTAAGATGGTAAATGTTGTGTGTTTCTTACCACAATTTAAAAAAAATTGAGGCGGCGGGGGTCGCCTAGGTGGCTGAGTCGGTTAAGCGCCTGACTTTGGTTCAGGTCATGATCTCACAATTCATGAGTCCAAGGCCTGCATCGGGCTCTCTGCTGTCAGCACAGAGCCCACTTCAGATCTTCTGTCCCTCTCTCTCTCTCTGCCTCTTCCCTGTGTGCATCTATCCATTCTCTCTCTTTCTCTGTCTCTCTCTCTCTCCCTCTAAAATAAACATAAAAAAATTTTTTTGAAGCTGATTTATAAACTAAACTGTTATTTCAATGAGTTTCCTTGGTACGATTTTGCCACAGATAAACTCCTACCTGAAAGGCAGAAATATAATGGCCTTAAGACTTGAGTTTTAGGGCAGAGACAAAAATTAAGTCTGCATAAGACACTTCAGAGTCAGGGGGCACCAGGGTGGCTCAGTCGGTTGAGCTTCTGCCTTCAGCCCAGGTCATGATCTCACAGTTTGTGGGCTTGAGCCCCACATCGGGTTCTGTGCTGACAGCTCAGAGCCAGGAACCTGCTTTGGATTCTGTGTCTCCCTCTCTCTGCCCCTCCCCTGCTCACACTCTGTCTCTCTCTCTCTCTCAAAAATAAACGAATATTTTTAAAACATTAAAAAAAAAAAGAAGACACTACAGAGCCAGTAGTCAAAGAGGAGTCAGGCTTAACATGATCTCTTGTAACATCTCAAGCAGTGGTTCTCCAAACGTATGGGTCCTGGACCAGCAGCATCAATATCACCTGGGAGCCTGTTGGAAATACAGATTCTCAGGCCCCACCCCAGGCCTAGTGAATCAGAAATTCTGGGAGTGGGAACTTGTCCATCTGTGTTTACTAAGGTCAGCAAGCCCATCTGGCGACTCTGATGCATGCCAAAGTGCGAGAACCACTGCTCCAGTCATCCTGCACAGCGTAGAGGTGGGCCGCAGCCCAGGGCTTGGGAAAAACTGGTGTGATTCGTAGTTAAGGGGTTAAGCTCTAGGGTCAATGTTTGAGCCTCAAGCCCTCTCTTTATTTACAAGCTGTAGAACAAGTCAGCAACTGTCTCAGAGCGCCAGTTTCCTCATCTGTAAAGTGGATCTCCTCCAGGGGGCGGTTGGGGAGCACTTAACAAGCTACAGAAAGACTCGGCACAGTGCTGCCTAGGTTATATGCTGGCCCAGCCCTGGGAGCCAGACACAGAACTAGCTCCCAGGAAAACTTGGGGCACGAACCCTTCAGTGTTTGTGGGCCGTGGGCTCCTTGGCAGTCCAGTGAAGCTGCAGATTCCTTCTCAAAGGGATGTTTTTAGAGGCATAAAGAAAAATAGATCGCACAGAAAACCAATTACAGTTGATCCTTGTACAACATGGGTACAAACTGCGAGGATTTTTTACAGTACAGTACTATAAATGTATTTTTTCTCCCTTGTGACTTCCTTAATAACACTTTTCTTTTCTCTAGCTTCCTTTATTGTAAGATACAGTATTTAATACATGTAACATACAAAATATGTGTTAATCAACTGTATATGTTATCAGTAAGGATTCCAGTCAACAGTAGGCTATTAGTAATTCAGTCTTGCGGGGAGGCAAAAGTTATCCTCAGATTTTCGACTGTGTGGGGGGTTGGTGCCCCAACCCCTGCATTGTTCAAGGGTCAACTGTATATTAAAATGCACATTATCAATATTAAAATAATAAATGTGTGATATAGGAAAAAAAATAAAAAGATAGCCAGTTCAGTGACAGGGAGCATGACTGCACCTAAAGTTGGTCTTTCCACCTCCAACCATGTAATTGAAACTTTAGCTGCCTTCTTGGGACACAGACCCAGTGTCTCTCATTTCAGAAAATGTGTAGTAGTAACTGATTTATTTTCTCTCCTCTCCCTATCCCATCCTTCTTGCCTAAAACCAGGGCCCCAGCACCCTAGATGACCTGTTTCAAGAACTGGACAAGAATGGAGACGGAGAAGTTAGTTTTGAAGAATTCCAGGTGTTAGTCAAGAAGATATCCCAGTGAAGGCAAAAAAAACCAAGACAATGTATCATTCCAAAAGAAGAGCACCTGGGATGTGGCCCTATTCTATATGGAATCACTAATGTCTCTGGTTAATTCTTTGCAATTATAACGGTTTGGCTGTGAAGGCCAATTACTGTTAATAAAGAAATTCTTAGACATGTCTCTCCTTGTCAAGTACTGACCCCCATGGCTTAATAGATTTGAAATAACCTTAGTCTAATGCATATAATTATATAGATTTTTTTTAAAGGCTGAGAAGAGTTCCACGATCTTCACGAAGACTACAAACATGGCATCGGAGGCTTGGAAAGAACTCTGACGTGCCAAACCAGGGCCCTTACTCCAGTCTTCCACCAGAATAACCCTTTTCCTGCTCTCCCTCCCCAGCCACTCAGGGCTCACATCATTTCCAGTTCCAGCCCCTATTTCACTCTAGTCAATAGCTGGTGAGGAGCAGACTTCAAAAAACACATACTTGTCTTAAAGTCACCTCTGGCGCTTGCTGTGGTTTTTGAATCAATGACCCTCTCCGGGAGCAGAAGCATTACAGGACCAAGAGTCAGTTCTGCTCCATCACCGAGGGGGCGGCCTTGGTTCTGGTATGTAATGTGTAAAATAAAAGGCACAGGAAGACAGAGGGCCCTCCCAACTCTGGCATCCTGTGCTGCCCGGACTCTCAGGATCTGAGAAACAGCTGGGGGGAAGGCGGTGGAGGTGGGGGGGGGGGGGGAGAGTGTTGCTGGGGAATTTAACCAAAGAAAAGAAAAATGACTTCTAACCCTACCAAGAAACAAGGCAGATTTTTATACACAGTGAGGAAATGTTTAAATACAATTTGTATCATTCTAATTCAATACAAGAGCACTCTCACTGCACCAAAAACTTCAAACATTTCTAACGACTAATTATATTCCACTGCAGGGATACCCCATAATAGTCTCACCTATTTCCCCATTGTGGGACACTTCGACTGTTGTCATTTCTGATTCTTCTAAACAATGCTATACTAATGAGTAACTGTTCATACCTCTGTCAACACACCATATTTCCCTCCTTAGGAGAATTTCTGAGAAGTAAATGTCTGAGTCACAGCGTATGAATATTTTTATGGTTTGTGAAATAGACCACTTAATTGATTTTCCAAAAGGTTGTATTGATTCGGAAATCTACAAACAGGTAGGAGAATGCCAGCTTCAATCTCCAGACAGCATTAGTTGGTCTTATTTTAACAACTTCATTAGTCACCATAGTGCACATCTTCTACTCATTTCTAGTTTTCATAGGGATCCCCATTGACTTTACTGCTGGATATGGGTTTGTAAAAGATAATCTTTCTCTTGTTTAAGAAGTCCCCTTCTCAGGACGCCTGGGTGGCTCAGTAGGTGAAGCATCCGACTCTTGATTTCAGCTCAGCTCTTGCTTGATCTCAGGATTGTGAGTTCAAGCCCCACATTGGGCTCTGTGCTGGGCATGAAGCCTACTTTAAAAAAAAAAAAAAAGGTCCCCTTCTCTTCCTAGTTTGTTAAGAGATTGTGAGCAGGAAGGTTTGGGTTCTATAGATTGCCTACCGAGCATCTATGGAGACATGGGGGTTCTCTGTTTTGTCTGATCAATATAATACATTAACCAATTCAACCCCCAGGTTAAACACACTCAATTATTCTGTAATACTGTTAAATTGGGCACTCTCGTATTTTATTTCAGATTTTCACATCTTTATTAATAGCCAACATTAGTCTATAGTTCGGGGTTTTATTTTTTGTTAGCGGTGCTTTGCTGACTTCTAATACCAAGGTCATGCCAGCTTCCCATTTTAGCCTGAATTCTGGCTCTCAATCTGTCCCTCACAGAATAAATGTACATAATCTCTTTCAACTCCAACATATATAAAGCAACTACTATGGACAGGACATTACACAAGATGCCAGAGAAATAAACTTCTAGCCCTCTGAGATCCTAAGTCTGTAAGTCTGGGATCAGGTCAAGGAAAGGCTGATTCGAGAAAGTAGTATTTCCAGCTGGAATTTGCAGGAAGAGCCTTGAGGGGAAGCTGCAGGGAAGGGGCAGCACTGGGCTTCAAAAAGAGAGAAAACACCCCAAGTAAACACATCATGTGCAAGTTCAAGGCAGTTCCAGAAACACACATACTACATTTTGGTGCAAAGCCAGCTACGAGGAAGTAGAGGGCACGAGGGCTTTAGATCATGAGAGTCCTTGGTTGCCATGATAAACCAAGGTCAGAAGAAAGGGAGAGGAAGGGTGTAGGAAGCATAAAGTGATGTGAATGTGCTTTAGGAAGATGAGGTGGCAGCAACAAAGAGGTTGCAAGGGGTGGGGGGTTGTCAGCAGGGTGGAAGCTGGGGCTGGGCAGGAGGCCTCCAGGGCAGATGGGGCAAGCTGGGAAGGCCTCCCGGTGGCAATGCACAGGAAACGCAAGGTAGAGATACCTTCTCTATCTGGCTAAGATTTACTGACTTGGACAAATTATCGTCTGACAGTCTTCAAGAAGGGTGAAAAAGCATGAAGGGTTGTATGTAGCATGGGTGTACATGTCTATTTCATTGGCTTCCTTGGCCCGGTTTCCAACAATGAGCTCATCTCCCACATCCAACAGGATTCACCTGAATTTCCTCTTTTTTTTTTTTTTTAAATATTTATTTATTTTGGGGAGACAGAGAGACAAAGTGCAAGCAGGGGAGGGGCAGAGAGAGAGGGAGACACAGAATCGGAAGCAGGCTCCAGGCCCTGAGCTGTCAGCACAGAGCCCTATGCGGGGCTTGAACCCATGAAGCACGGGATGATAACCTGGGCCAAAGTCAGACGCCTAACCAATTGAGCCACCCAGGTGTCCCTGAATTTCCTCTTGAATCAACAGTACAAGCTTGTCAACCACAAAACATCAATCCTCACTAGACTGTAGGCTCCACCAGGGCAAGGATTTTTATCTGTTCTTTCACTGAGGTATCCCCAAGTCTAGCTCAGAGCCTGGCATGTGGGACAGGTTCAATAGCTATTTGTTGAATGAATGATTCCTGAGTATCCAGTCACTAAATCTCATTGATTCATTCCATAAAGCTGCTCTGCCAGCCAGACCTTTCTACTCTAACTCCTGCTCCAACCCAGCTCCTTGGATCGCAGACTGAGGCTGCCTTAACATTCAACCAGGTACTGTGTCTGGAGTCTTCTCTCCCCTCTCATATCTCTGTCTGTCTGTCTGTCTCTCTCTCTCTCTCTCAACAGTTGAATCTTTCTCAAGCACTCGTTCTATTGAAAAGCCTTCAGCTACGAGTACGGTATTTGCATACTATGTCAAAGTTGACAGGTATTATCTTACTGGTTCCCTATTGCCTTCAGGATTAATTTTGACACTGATACTCAAGGACCCCCACAAATATGCACCAATCTCCCCTATTTCCCACCACTTCCCTATGGGAGCCATATGCTTCAGCCAACCCACTCGGTATTTTATAGGCAAATCTTGGACATTCCGGCCTAGCCTAACCTTCCCCTCCTCTCTCTAAAGTCTCCAAGCCTTTGACAACCATCTCTTCTTACTATAACCCACAGTATTTTTCCCCTGACTCTGAATACTTAAGTATCTAAGGTCTACCTGTGCTGTGCAATACTGTAACAATTAGATCACATGGCCATGGGCATTTAAATCAATTAAAATTCAATGAAGTTTAAAGTTCAGTTCCTGGGCCACACTAGCAACATTTCAAGTGCTCCATAGCCCCACGTGGCTAGTGGCCATCTATCATATTGGATGGCACAAACCCAGAGCATCCTACCATGGCAGAAAGTTCTAGTCGACAGCATTTGCTAGCATCAACACACACACTGCCCGTATGTTTGGTTATCTGTTTTGCCAGTCTATGTCTTGAAGCCCCAGCTAAGCTTGCAATACACTATATTTGGGACTGCACTTCAGTGGACAAGCTCCAAATGCACAATGACTTTTTTTCTTTTTAATAATCTCTTTCCACTAGCATCCAGTTATTTCTACTGCAGAAAAATCTTTTAAGTGGTTGAAATACTTATTCCTAAAGCATTTCCCATTGAGCTCAACGTACAAAAGCTCTCAAACACATTAGCTTTGAAGTACTCATTTAGCCATTTATTGTTAAAATTATAGACTAACCTGGTGATTCACAAATGGGGGCTCATTCCAAGCACCCACACTGTCTCCTTTCAGGAAATAGGCCCGAGTATGGGGGAGGGTCGGGTGAAGAAGATGCCCTTGCCATTCATTGGACAGCAGCCATCATGCCTAGAAGAATTTTTCTTTCCCAATAGAAAGCAGTTTCTATGGCTAACAGCCTAATATCAACTCTGAACCTACTGCCCCCACAGAGACAGGATTAAATGACTATTAGGCTATCAGACTGGTCCATAAAGGGCTATTTTACCCACAGTATAGCTGCCTTCTTGACAGCTGCTTTGATGGCAAGAAAAGTTCGTTAGCCCAAACTAAGCTCCAAATGACTTCTGTAAGGCAATTTTGTTAGCTGGGAGACACTCACTCAGTGTTCTAAATGCCAAGCAGTCTTCGAAGTAATAAAAAGTGGCCTGAAAGGTTTCTCTCGGTGGCTGGCTGGATTTTTTTTTTTAATGTTTCTTAATTTGCTTTCCATGTAAAGTTGTTGAAAAATAACATGGAAGAAAAAAAAATATCTCGAACAGGGCTTCATCTAGAGGTAGGAAAATGTTATGCATTAATTATGCTTAATGTACAACACAAACGACCCTTCACCTGAATCAACTTTTAATTATGTGTAACTATTCCACAGACCCACTGTGTCAGATGTGAAATTCATTTCGACTTTGAAAATCCTTGGATCAAACAAGGGTAAAATAGGTCCTATACATGATAACTAAAATTGAAATATATCAGACACCACAGTCGCAAATGTCCATTTGCATCTGCTTCAAATGCTTCAAATTTCTCCCTTTCCCTTACCAATACCATTGTCCAGGTGTACATGTGTTCACTGATACATTAGAAGGTGG